CCACTCAAGCACCGTTTGGCTGTAAGGGGCCAGCAGCATGTGTCTTTTGGCCCCTGCCTGAGATGAGAGGTTCGGGCTGTCAAACGTGCGGCCTCAGAACTCAGAAGATGATTTTAAGCTAGCACTGAACTGTGTTGACTTTTAGTTGCAGTTAGGCTTAACATGCCGACAGGCCATAGTTGACCTTATTTTTCATGCATTCCTCTATGTAGAAGGTCGGAGTCGCCTGTGTAAGTCTACAGCATGCGCCGCAAGAAAATTCGATGGATTAAAGGCCTGCAAACTGCTTCAAACAAACAAAGTCTACGAAGGAAGCACCGGGTAGGTGTAGGAACCAAAGAGCCCACAGCAAGCTATGCAAAAACGCAGGCTCATGTTTGCAGACCACGATTGGCCCATTGTAGGTGAATGGCGCGTCTTGGTGTTAGTGAGCCTGGCGCAGTGAGAAGATAGAGGAGCTCTAGCTGGCAGGCCGACAAGAACCTGAGACCGAAATCCGTGTGCTCCGTATACATTACTTGCAAGGTTCGAGAGTATGGTAGACAAGACGTCAATCCCAAGCCCAAGCCTTGTCTGTCGTCCTGCTGCAGAAGCCCCTGAGAGTCCTCGATGAACGCTCAGAAGGGTTTTTTGTTTCGTGGATGTGTTAGGGCTTGGGGCATCTGCAGTTGTATAGAGTTCTGGATACATGTGTCAGGCAGCATGGGGGTGTTTTGGGTGGTTGAAGAGGTGCTGTGGCGACGCAGCATGAAGGGCTACTGCTCCTGCTGCTGCTGCCGGTACACCTGCTGCAGTACTTAACCCCAGAGCGCTAGCCTAAACCTCAATGCTGGATGATGCCTAAACCCTAATTAAACCCTAAACCTCAACGCTGGCAGTTGCGGCTGCACGATGATGCTTGATCCGGTGGATGGTTTGACGGGCTCCAAGGTCTGCCTTCGGGCCTGCGATGGCGAACGCAGAGGCCGCTGAGAGGCACCAGGCAGCTTCAAATATATATATATATATATATACATACATACACACATGTATATATGTATGAACACAACTAATATACATATATATATATATATAATTATGTATGTATGTATGTATGTATGTATGTATGTATGTATAGGTAAATATACACACATACCCACATACACACATCAACATATACAAACACATAGACACACCTTTCTAGTAATGTCGACATCTACACATACATATGTACATGCATATATGCACTACGTGTGCTACATTGAGCCGAGGCATTTTCCTATCGAAGAGCGTGGAATTGTGGCTGGTGCAAAGTCTGGAGTTTTGGGCGTCGGATTTCTTCAAAGATGGGGCCATTGGAGTGGAGCTTTCAGGTTTGGTGGTGGGCCACAAACACCGCTGCTTGCTCTAAGCGCGAAGAGCAACAGTCTCAGAATAGTAGAAGCACTCAGGCCACTTGCAACAAGAGTTCTGAGATACTCAGAACCCTAAACCTCGTAACGAGCCCAAGTAATAAATGTTTTGAAGATGATTTTTGCAGCTATGGGAGTTGGTGCTAGCCGCTAGCCGCCGACAGGCAGAGGCCACGCGCCTCCGGTCAGAGATCGAGCAGCTGGTGCAGCGTGCGGGGGCCTCTGGAGCTCCTTATCCTTGGGCCCTTGGGGTCGCTTCTGCTCATCGTCGTCGTCGTCAGCAGGGCGAGCAGGGGAGGCTTAGTTGAAGAAGGGAGGGGGAGCAGCAGCAGAAGCGGCAGCAGCGGCAGCAGTTGCACCACCGACACCACCAGTCGTCCACGACGACGTCGTTGTCGATGATGCAGGCACCGCAGCATCAGCGGTCGTGTCCCGTGGCGGGAGCGGGGGTGGTGCTGATACTATGTACTGTAGCACGAGCAGCCACCACCACTACCATCATCACCACCTTTCGCACTGTCTGCACAGGATGAGAAAAGGAGGATGCCAAACCCTGAAATTAACAGGTGGAGTCAGTGGAGAACAAGCACATAATTAAGAAGGGTTTCAAACATGAGTCAACAAGATCAGTTCCAAGGCCCGGCTTCTTTTGCACGGCGATGCTGCGAACAAGCCGCTCGCACCACGGCCCAAGCCCTGGCAAAGTGGAGAGTCAACTTCAAGGCTCAGAGGACAAGGTCCTACAAGGTTGGGTGTTCTTCAAGTCTTGCAAGTTTTTTGGACTTTTTGGAAGTCAAGGAGTGTCATGTGAAGTAAGGGGCTCCCGAGGTGCTCTTCGACCCGGACTCTACTGCAGCATCGTCCCCTACCCACGAAACCTTGAGCCCTGGCCAAGCGCACTGCTCTTCATCCATGAGCTCTGCAGCTTCCGCTCAGCTTCAACCCTCAACCGGATAAGCTTGAAGCTTCGCCCTAGACCTGAAGCCTCCGATACAAGCCCGAGACCCCAAAAGTATGGTTCAGGGGGGTTTGGGATTGAGGCTCAGAACGCGGGAAGGGGCGGCATGAGCCTGACTTAACACGGCTATTTCCGAAATAAAGGAGTATCAAGCAAGCACATGCTGACGAGCTGTTAAAGCCCCCACCGCAGCAGCCGTGCCAACGAGGCCTCCGCATCCCCGGCGCGCTGAGCGCGAGCGGGAGCTTGAAGAGGCATTGGAAAAGGCTCGGGCTGATGGCTGAAGCATTGCTGTGGCACTGGACTTCGAACGCTGGATGTGTTCTTGGCCCTCGGTTTCGCCAGCCTCTGTGCACAAGCCACCTTCCGAGACCAGGCAGAGTGGTACCGGCGTGAAATCAAGCGCATGCGGCAGGCCAAGCTCCGTGCACAGATGCCATGTGCAGTTCCCGGTCCCGCAGAGGAACATCCAAAACCCCGATGACCCGAAGCCAGGAGCTGGAGTCCCGGGACCGGCACAGCTTCTGGGCTGCACCGAATGCAGGATTTGGGCTCCGTAGCTCGCCAGCTGGCTCACTCATGCTTGCGTCCACTCGCACTCCTCACTGTCTCTCTAGGTGTCTTTTTCTTTCTCTTTCTCTCTTTTTCTTTCTTGCTCTCTTTCGCTGGGCCCCTCCCTCCCTCCCTCCCTCCC